TGGCACTGATATGCAGCACTGACTGGCACTGATAAGCGGCACTGACTGGCACTGATAAGCGGCATTGATAGGTGGCACTGACTGGCACTGATGGGCGACATTGAAAGGCAGCTCATATGGGCACTGATATGTGGCGTTGATGTGCACTGGTAGGCACTGATACGTGGCATGGATGTGGCACTGATGGGCACTGGCACATGACACTGATGAGCACTGACAGCTGGCACTGATGGACACTGACAGGTGGCACTGCTGGGGCTACACTGATCATCAGGGCACACTGATCATCAGTGCTCTGATGATCAGTGTAGATGTCTCCTCCACAGAATGCCGATTACCGGCTCTCTCCTCTCCTCCTCTGTCAGCGTGAAAGCTCGTGAGGAGAGAAATGCCGATAACCGGCATTTCCCTGTTTACATGTGATCAGCTGTGATTGAACACAGCTGATCACATGACTGAGCCGACATCTTTGGCTCTTTCCGTGGATCGGTGATCCGCTGTGTCCGAGGGACACAGCACATCGCTGATCGCCGTGCTGCGCGCTCCCTGAGCCATGCATGCGCAGTGAGAAAGGGAGGACGTCATATGAGAGAACCACCTTGCACCCATCATTGGACTATATGGCGGGCGGGAGGTGGTTAAAGGATAAGTTCACCTTTTATTAAAAATAAATAAATAATACATGCACATCTTTTTGCAGATAAAACAATCTGCATTCACAATTTGTTTACACTGCGGCCTGTAAGGCATTGCACCCAAGATCAGCAGATGGAGGGTGCAATGTCAGGCTCCTGCAGATTCTCAGTCAGCGATCTGTCCATACCTCCGATACAGGCAAGCAGTTACTGAATTGAAGGAAGAATGAATTACAAGAGTGCGTGACAGCACTCTCACAGTTCATTGAGAACTACAAGCAAACCGTACTTGTGGTTTATTCATTCACAGAACTCTGTGAATGAAGGACATAGTCGTGTGCGCAGAGCCCAACACAGCCATGCTGTTTTTAAATTGTGACAGGGGGTGCGGGGAGAAAATCCCCTGCCTGCTGTCACAGGAAGGGGGGATTGGGGGAAGAGGAGGCAGGAGCATGTTACATGTTCCATTCTAAGTATGGGTGGAATATGCAACATATTCCAAAGGTGAACTCAGTATTTTGTATGTTTTACTCAAATGCATTTTTTAATGTTTTACATAATTTTTCTCATTGGTGCTGCTGTAATATACCAAGAGCACTGTAAACTGTGTGATGACAAGATTTTCATCTACTACTAGCAAGTAATAAAGATTATAATGCAAGGAAATTGTAACACCTGAAATACATTTTCAAGAATGAAAAACTTTTTGAGTCAGGTGTTAAAACTGCAAGTAAATATTCCCAAACATTAGTAACCCCTGAAATGTTTTGCTTTCAAACAGACTTTCAAAGCAACTTTTAGCATGTAATAAACATTGTTGCAGCTTGGTGACTTGGTGACACCCAGTTCACACCAATGCAACTTGTCATGTGAATTAACAGATCAAAGTCACACCCTATGTGCCGCTATGGAACTCAAGTTACAGCGACTTTGAAAAAGGTTCCTGCACTAATTTTGTGCAATTTCATGTGTGGCTTGCATTGACATCTGTGTAAATGAAGTTGTGCGAAAGTCGGCAAGCTGCACATGAAGTAACACTGATCAGTGGCTTTGAAACGGCTCTAAAGTAGAGCAACTTCAAAAGCTGCATCAGAGTGAACTGGATGTTAGGGCCAACATGTAGTGTATATAAAACTCAGGATACACGGTTAGTCAGTAATTAAAGTTCCAGTCAAAGTTCAAAGCCAAAGCATACCTTTCACTAAAATGCCCCCCACCCCATTTTAAATCACCACATGATAGCAGTTAAAAAAATGCACATGTGGGGGGAAAAATAGAGTACATATTTTTGACAATATTCCTCACAGGGACAGGTGACATTGCAATTCCTCCGACTAGAGCAAATGCTGAGGATCACAAATTGCATGAGAAAATGTTCCAGCACAGTGCAGGGGCATCTCCTTGTGGGATTTTGCATCCTCAGCGGGATCTTGCCTGGGAGAATTGAATCACCAATGCCTAAGCTGGCTGCATGGTAAATATATTTTCTATTTTTTTCACACCCACAAATGTGTTTTTTTAACAGAAGTAATTTGAAATGGAGGGGAGGCAGATAAAATGAGGAAAACTTACACTTTTGTTCAAGATTTGGTTTGATCCTATGACTTTGCTATGTTGCTGTGTTACTTGATAGCATTAGCAGTACACAGAATGTTTTTTTTGTTGTTGTTGTTGTTGCCTGCATTGGATATAACAACACCCCTCTAGGCAGAAACCACAGAATCCAAATGCTTCTTGTAATAAGTTAATAGTGTTTATAGTATTTCTTTGGGATTTCTAACACTTTTTCTTATTGGATGCTTTTACTTCAATAATATTTGCCATGTATGCACATCGTGCTTTACATCGTCTTACAAATGGCCAATACTAGAAATCTTTTTTTTTAAACATATTATAGAATGGTTTTCTACTGCTATATCTGAATGCAAAATCTAAATGTAGTTATCACTTTTATGTGCATATTTGAAGCAATGCTGTCTTTTTACAAATTTGCTAAACTCTGTTTATCTATGAGGAAAAATAAAGCTGCCACTGAACCATGATCAAAGAAAAAGACACAATTTAGCCTACTATTTATGCCCAAACAACTTATCCACTTCAGTGAACCAAACAATTTGCAAATAAAAGTAATCATGACTTATTAATCAAATGATTCTTCACAGATCAGATAAATCTGCATGCATATGTTAAAGTGAATAAAACATGTAATTGGCCTCTGATGTGTCCAATGTGTGAATTGGTGTGCTTGTTACTAATATCTGTTTATCAGTGGAGGTGCATTAGGTTAATGCCACAATGACTAATTGAAATTTTCATCAGTTTTGTATTTTTATATCAGTGTTTGCAAAGCTTTGTTCTCCCCTCCTACAATGTGCATTCGCTCAGCTGAAAGGCTTGTCTAGTACAGAAACCAGAAGCATCAGGGTTTATTCAGAAACATTGGGGTAGATTTACTAAAACTGCTGCAGTCAGAATCTGGTGTAGCCATGCATGATAAACAATCAGCTTCTAACTTCAGCTTGCTCAATTAAGTTTTGACAATAAAACCTTAGAAGCTAATTGGTTTCTATGCAGAGCTGCACTCGATTTTGCACCATTTGGTTAGTAGTAAATAACCCTCACTGTTCCAATCATGCCAGAAAGTGTACCTATTGTGCCCGACTTACAGTTCCAGTTACTTCTACATTTCTAGCACTCTATCTATATCTAAATTGTAGATCTTGGGTTTTTGTTTACATTTTTATGTAATATGAGTTCCTATTATACAGTATAACATATATAGACTTGTGATCCACTGCTGCATTCCAAGCCCCCCAAGCAGTCTTGTTGCTGTCCCTCAATCATGACTTCATGATACCAGCTCTTTAACTACCTCCTGCCCTTCTTATAGTCAAATGTCGGCTGAGTGGGGCCTTTCTAATCCAGAGTGGACATCATATCATCATATGATTTCCTCCAAGCACACATCTCCTGCACTCTAGAGGCCTTTGTACTGTCCTAGAATTATCAGGATTGATTAAGTTTTATATATATATATATATATATATATATATATATATATACACACACATATACATATATATATATATATATATATATATATATACACACACTATATTGCCAAAAGTATTGGGACGCCTGCCTTAACGTGCACGTGAACTTTAATGGATTCCCAGTCTTAGTTTGTGGGGTTCAATATTGAGTTGGCCCACCCATTGCAGCTATAACAGCTTCGACTCTTCTGGGAAAGCTGTCCACAAGGTTTAGAAGTGTGTCTACGGGAATGTTTGACCATTATTCCAGAAGCTCAATGTTTAGGTCAGGCACTGATGTTGAACAAGAAAGCCTGGCTCACAATCTCCACTTTAATTCATCCCAAAGGTGTTCTATGGGGTTGAGGTCAGGACTCTGTGCAGGCCACTCAAGTTCCTCCACCGCAAACTCACTCATCCCTGTCTTTATGGACCTTGCTTTGTGCACTGTTGCACAGTGATGTTGGAACAGGAAGGGGCCATCCCCAAACTCTTCCCACAAAGTTTGGAGCATGAAATTGTTCAAAATGTCATGGTATGCTAATGCCTTAAGAGTAATAATGGGCCGAACACTCCCGTCTGGTTTGCAGTGGAACATTCATACCTACAGAATGTTCGGCTACAACTTCTGACACAAGCAATTTGCTGAGCAGTATCTTACCGCATCTGAGTATTTGGTAAGATACTGCTCAGTTACTGAAATACCGCATGAGTTATATTATTAAGCAATGTGGTATTTTAGTACTGAAACATTAATTATTGTTTCAGATGTCATCGAGGGGTCCTCCCTCTCATCCATACCAAGCTCTTCAGGTCTGGTATTGATTTTGAGGGGAACCTCCACGCCAAATTTTTTTTGTTATGATGTGGGGTTCTTCCCAAAATCCATACCAGACCCCCTCCCCAAAGCACCTTGTCCCCATGTTCATGGGGACAAGGGCCTCTTCTCCACAACCTTGACCATCAGTTGTGGGGGTCTACGGGCAAGGCGCTTATCAGAATCTGTGGTCAGGTGCATTGCTTTGACTAATCACAATGCACTGTCAGGGCACAGTGCATCATGGGCCACAGCAGGCGAACAACCCACCGAATGCCTGTATCGTTCGTGTGTTCAGCGAATACATGAGCGATCAATGTTTGGGTTGAACTTAGGTTCAACTCAAACATTCAGCCCACCACTACTTAAGAGTTCCCTTCACTGGGACCAAGCCCAACCTGAAAAATAACCTCACACCATAATCCCCCTTCCACCAAACTTTACACTTGGCACAATGCAGTCAGGCAAGTACAGTTGACCTGGCAACTGTCAAATCCAGACACGTTCATCGGATTGCCAGAGTTTGGTGGTGGCGTGTCTTACACCACTGCATCCAATGCTTTGCCTTAATGAAGCTGATCGGCTATGTAAATCATTCCATGAAGCTCTCTACAAATAGTTGGTGTGCTAATCTGAAGGCCACATGAAGTTTGGAGGTCTTTAGCTATTGTCTCTACTGGCAGTTGGTGACTTCTGTGCATTGTGCACTGCAGAATGAGCTGACCCCGCTCTGTCATTTTACGTGGCCTACCACTTTGCGGCTGAGTTGCAGTTGTTCCCAGTTGCTTCCACTTTGTTATAATGCCACTAACAGTTGACCGTGGAATATTAAGTAGCAAGAAAATTTCACAGACAGACTTATTGCACATGTGGCAACCTATCACTGTACCACGTTTGAATTCACTGAGCTCCTGAGAGCGACCCATCCTTTCACAAATGTTTGTAGAGGCAGTCTGCATGTCTAGATGCTTGATTTTATACACCTGAGGCCATGGAGGGTTTTGGAAAACCTGAATCCAATGATGTTTTGGAGGGGTGTCCCAATACTTTTGGAAATATAGTGTATATACACTCACTGGCCACTTTATTAGGTACACCTATTCAATTGCTTGATAACACAAATTGCTAATCAGCCAATCACATGGTAGCAACTCAATGCATTTAGACATCTAAATGTGGTGAAGACGACTTGTTGAAGTTCAAACTGTGCATCAGAATGGGGAAGAAAAAGGATTTAGGTGACTTTGAACGTGCCATGGCTGTTGGTGCCAGACAGGCTGGTCTAAGTATTTAAAAAACTGCTAATCTACTGGGATTTTCATGCACAACCATCTCTAGGGTTTATGGAGAATGGACCGAAAAAGAGAAAATATCCAGTGAAAGGCAGTTGTGTGGACGAAAATGCCTAGTTGATGTCATAGGTCAGAGGAGAATGGGCAGACTGGTTCGAGATGACAGAACGGCAACAGTAACTCAAATAACCAATAGTTACAACCAAGGTATGCAGAATACCATTTCTGAATGCACAACACATCAAACCTTGAAGCAAGTGGACTACAGTAGCAGAAGACCACACAGGGTGCCACTCCTGTCAGCTAAGAACAGGAAATAGAAGCTACAATTCACACAGGCTTACCAAAATTGGACAACAGAAGATTGGGAAAACATTGCCTGTTCTGATGAGTCTCAATTTCAGCTACAACATTCAGATGTAGGGTCAGAATTTGGCGTAAACAACATCAAAGTATGGATCCACCCTGCCTTGTATCAACGGTTCATGGATGTGCAGCTGACAAACCTGCAGCAACTACATGATACTATCATGTCAATATGAACCAAAATCTCTGAGGAATGTTTTCAACACCTTGTTGAATCTATGCCATGAAGAATTAAGGCAGCTCTGAAGGCAAAAGGGGGTCCAACCCGGGACTAGAAAGGTGTACCTAATAAAGTGGCCGGTGAGTGTATATACACCATAGATTGTAGACTCTTTCACAACAACTAAATAATATACACTGATTTGGGTTATTTTTACCAAAGAAAGTTTTTTGGCCAAAAAAAATTTTTCTTTTTGCTAAATTTTATAAGAAAAACAAAGAAACATTTTAGTTTTTTTTAAATTATCTGTGTTTCCTATTTTTTTATATAACAAAAAAACAGTGGTAATTAAATAACACCAAATTAATGATCTGTCTTTGAAAAAAAAATTATAAAAATGTCATTTGGGTACAGTGTTCCATACCTGAGTAATTGGCATTCAAAGTGTGACTGTGCATAAATCGGAAAATTTGCCTAGGCAGGAAGGGGGTGGAAGTGTCGGGTATTGGAGCATAAAGTACCCTATGTGGGCCTTCAAGGACCATTGCAGACAATTTTGATGGATATTATTCTCTAATATCAATCAGTGAAATCCAATAAACTTAAATTGTGTAGACAAATATTCTAATACTGTAACTGTGTTACTAGCCAAGCGCTGCAAAGTGAATTTAGCACCACTCTTTTAAATCTTTAATACATAATTAGTGTAGCACAACCTCCTCAATCCATAGTAGACCATCCTTACTAATACATATCACATCCTTAATATCCAGAACAACATATATATATATATACACAGTATATTCAAATAAATATATACAATTAAACGGAAAAATAATAAATATTGAATAATAATGTGAAAGTCCAAACTAAACTAAATAATAATGTGAAAGTCCAAAAAGCCCCCCCAATGGGATATTTGGTGAAAATCTGTCTTCACTTCTTTCTCCAGTTACTTGTGAACTTCCACCATTCAGGTGAAAAACCTGCTCACCTCATATATACTTAAACATGCTAACCTGGACACTCCCAGTGGCTCAAATTCTCAGCCTTAGATTCCTTGCTTTATTCATCCTTCGGGTCCCCCAAACCTTCCTCTATCAATTGTGCTCATATGTCATCTGATATACATCACATGTAATAGAAAGATAAAGACATAGTACTCTCCATCTTTTAAAATGTATTCAATCCCCAGTAGATAAAATTACACCTACAGAAATGCAAAACAGATGTGCTTTGTTAATCTGCCATTGACCTGCTCATGACTCAATGGTGTCCGTTTATGAACCAGCGGTAATAGATCGCTGCTCAGTTCTCCGGCATTCTCAGAGAACACAGTTCTCCTGTGAATGCAGTTTATGAAGCAGTTCTCCGAACGAAGGGAGAACGGTCTCCAAACGCTGGAGAACGGTCTACAAACTCTGGAAAATGGCTGATTTTACTATATTCTCGTGAGATTACAGTAAAAGATCAGTTTACTAAGCAGAGGTAAATTATCTCTGCTTAGTTTGTGGTCCCTCTGATTCTCCAGCTCTGGGCTGGAGAATCTGGAGGGAGAACACAGATCTCCAGTGAAGGGCTGACATGATCTCCTGAGTGTCATAAACTGTGAATGACCAAAGAATAGCTGAGATCCGTTGAATCGCAGCTATTCTCTGTGTCATAAACGGACACCTATATTCTAGATGGGGCCGGTGTGATGTCACAGGCTCAAGTGCTCCCTCCTAGATGGTGTTGCCCTCCAATTGGGCTTCCTCAGTAGGCTGGGCATTGAATAAATGGATTGAGGAGGTTGTGCTACACTAATTATGTATTAATTATTTAAAAGGGTGTGCAGTATTTCTCTAGCAACACAATTGTTAGTATAATTGTCTACACGGGTTAAGTTTACTGGATTGCAATGATTTGCTATTGGAGAATAATATCCATCAAAAGTGTCTGCACTCAGCCAAAATGAAGTGTCCACATAGTTCAAAAAGCTACATGGGTACTGCAAGAAGGACCATCTCTCACAATACAAAACACACAATAGACCAATAGAAAGAAGAAATGGGACCTGTCCTGTCACATCATGTAACATCACGCAGAGTCAGTTCAGGTTTTTTTAGCTTTTTTTTAGATTAGTTTTAGGAGCGTTTTTTTTATGGGGAGAGGGGCAGCTTTCAATGGATCAATCCCTTGGAGTTTTATATATAAGAACATTTTTTTTGGATTAGCATGGTTTTATTTCAAATGTAATCACTCTGTTAAACAGATGTTCTGTAAAGGAAAATAATATATTCTAGAATTTTTTTATACTAATCTAGCAAGATATTGACTATGTATTAAATGTTTTACACCCAGCTGAATTGTTTGACTCTATGGGAAGATATAGGTGATATATAAAACTGGGTCAATTGTCAGGTTAGAATTGTCTGCAATTATGAGCCTGTATTCAAAATTGTGGCAAAATATTCAACACTTCAAGGTTTACAAGTCCATCTCCCAGAGAAAACTAGATTTGCCTTTGTCTCACAGTTTGCAACCCATGGCAACTGTAGCTATTCTCCCTGGTTATGTTTCAGCTTTAACTGGCAAATTTGTTAGATGAGTACATGATTTAGAACATAAGATGTTATTTAGTGTATGTTACATTTTAAAGACTACTAAAGGATAATTTTAATGAACATTGCTACTTGCTATTGCAATAGCAGTTTTATACAAAAGATTATTCCTGGCCAGTCAAGTAAGAGCGGGCAGAAGGGCTTTTTTTACAGGAGTTAAGTTTTTGTGTTGAAGTAAAACAGATATACTTTACCCCATACTAGTTATATAGAAACTTTTTCTTGAAAAGAGAGTAAGAAAAAAAGAGAAACAGCTCATGAAGATCCAATAGAAGTATAATATTTAATGTTAAAATAACAGAAAAACAAGGTTAAAAGTATTGCACTCACAGAGGTAAAAGGTGAAGTGCCAAAGCCCAGAAAGGAAAAAGTCAAATGTCAAGTCAATTTAGCTTAGAGTACTGTGTAGGAGCTAAATGCTCTTTAGGTATTTTAATACTACCCACAATGTAAGCCTACAAACCACAGTATACGGTAAAAAACATACTCTCACGGCCTTGAAAATCATGAAAGAGGAACGTAGATATAAAAGACTGCATTTAGAGACCCTTCAGCCTCTTCTTCTTTTCTACTGATAAAATGACAAAAAAATAAAGTTAAAATTTGAGTTTTTTTGCAGTTTCTATGTATGAGTCTCAATTGAATTCTGTGATCATAAAAGTGTCTAAAGTGATGGGTGTGAGCCTTGAACTGTTAGTTATCAGGAACAAGAACATATCTAATGCCGCATTTTAAAAATAAACAAGCTATGTCTGCCCCAAGAGAACAAGGATTGTGTCCAGCGGTGGACTGACCATTTGGAAACTCGGGCACTGCCCGAGGGCCCGGGGTCAGTAGGGGGCCCCATGAGATGCCCCTGGTACCTTTTTCATAAGCTTTTTTCAGTTTGGACAAGGACACAGGGGCCCCATGATCCCCTATTGCCCGGGGGCCCCATGAGTTGTCAGTCCGCTCCTGATTGTGTCAATTAACAAGTCCAGAAATGTGCTTCCTAAGATTGTATATAGGAGGTACAAAACATTTTTGCAGTGCGTTCATATCCTGAAAACTGCATATCAGTGAGCCAGTGCAGTAGTAGTCACCATGAAGTTCTTTTGTGTTAGTTGGGACTTAAAGTGTTACTAAACACAGGACCCTGCATTCACTCTATCTGGTCTCCAGCAGTACACAGAACTTGCAATTAAAATGCAATTATTTTAGTAAATATAAACTAAATACCTTTTCTCATCAGCAGTTAGAGCTTTTATGAAAGTGTTCAGCAGAGCACTGGTTAAAACTTGTAGGAGGAGTTTTCTTTCTGCTCTAGGAGGATGTAGAACCCCTGACCTCTGTCTGTACAGTGCTGATTGGCCCTGTGCTGATTGCATGCACTCTCCCAAGAAAAAAAACCTCTCTAGCAATACACACCAAACTGAGCATGTGCATTGTGTCTTCACAGGATATGTCTTATCAGGAGGGAGAAGGGGAAGATAAAAAGTCAGTATCAAACAGCATTTTTACACAATGCAGAGGATTAACCCCTTAAGTTCCACAGTGAA